CACTACAATATAAGAATGTCTTTATGTTCAGCCTGGTTAAGCTTTTCATTAGTTATTTAAGCTACACAGAAGATTCTTACTTTAAGATTCAGTAGAGAGTCTGAAGGAAGTATACTTTACAGAAAGACTGGGTAAGTAGTATTCACTTTGATATAGTCCTTTTGTTAATACCCCAGTTAAAAGCACTGCTGACAAAAACATAGTTTACAAAAGGATATTCTGACATAGCTACTTATTTTACAGTCACTTTCTGGCATGTATAACAGAAATAATGTTATACCCTTTTCTTAATGACATACTCTACATAATATATACATCTTCCTTCCTTCAACAGTGTGTCAGACCCTGTACATTTGAACAAGTACCCTGATTCTGATTCTGATCCTTACAATTTCCGGTCTTTTTCTTCTAATAGGTGGGTATCTTTTCTTCCTTTTTCTTTCTTCTTTTTCTGCCTTTCTGGTTTTTTTCCTGCTACATGTAAATTTATTTAAAATATTACCCATTACCTTTTTTTTTTTTAACAATACTCAATTCAATTCAACTCAATAAATATTTATTAAGCACCTACTATTTGCCAGGCACTACGCTAAGTTCTGAGAATACAAATAAGAAATAGAAAGACAATCTGTGCCCTCAGGGAGTTACAGTCTAATGGGGGAAGACGACAGAGAAAAGGAAACTGAGAAAGAGAAAGACATCAGGGCATAATCGGGCACAGAGGCATCATATTCTGTGGAGTTCTATAGAGTTGAAACCCAGCAGAGGTACAGATGGAAAGTGGCATGATAGTTACAGTGTGATCAATCAATTATTCTATGTTTATAAAATTACTTATGTTAATTTTATAATGGAAGCTATTTACTATGCCACCTACCTGCTTCTATATAAATTAAAAAACTATCTCCCAGGTAATTTTTGAGTGGAGTTTTATATTCCTGGTTCATATCCCTGAGCACATATCTCAGATCCTTTTTTTTAGGGGAAAAATGTATGAGGAGTTAAAAACATGTGTTGTCCTTAAATATTTTGCTCACTATGCTCCCAACCAAGTCACAATCAGAAACTGATATACCCAAGGGATGCTAGGCAGCACCATAATGCGTAGAGTGCTGGGCCTGGAGTCAGGAAGACTTATCTTCCTGAATTCAAATCTGTCCTCAGACACTTACTAACTCTGTAACCCTGGGCAAGTCACTTAACCTTGTTTGCCTCAGTTCCTCCTCTATAAAATGAGCTGAAGAAGGAAATGGCAAACCACTCTGACATCTTTGCCAACAAAACCCCAAATGGGGTCACAAAGAGTTGGATACGACTGAAACAACTGAACAACAACATAGTGTATTACTATTCCATTCCATGCCATTCGTTTACTATAATTTATTCAGCCATTACTTAGTTGTTGGGCATTTAATTTGTTTCTGATTTTTTGCCTTTACATATCCACTGATACTGGAAATACATTTGTACAGAGAAGTTTGTTTTGCTGTTTTGTTTTCTGGTCAATAACTTCCCTGGGCTGTAGTCTCAATAAGGAGTCCAATGAATCAAAAGGATTCACATTTGTAAAACTCTTAGTACATAGTTGTGTTGCTTTCCAAAAGATTGGACTAACAACTCCACTAGCAGTGTCTATTTTATCACAATTGTAGCATCATTGAATTTTGTTAGATTGCATTAACTGGGATAATTTGATCAATGTTATGTGGAATCCCAGAGTTCTTTTTAGTTGTATTTATCTTATTATTGAGATTTTGAATGTTTTTCATGTGGTTGTTGATAGTTGTGTTTCCTTTTTTGAAAACTGAGTTTTCATATCCTTTGACCAAATGTCTGTGGGATAACAGGTCTTACTTTTGTAAATTTGTGTCATTTCCTTTTAAATATGGGGTATTAGACTTTTATCGGAAGCTGAAAAATGTTTTAATGAAGTCTCTAATCTCCTCCATAATTCCAGCATTGGCCCTCCTGGTCCAAACATTCTACTTTGTCTCCATAATCACAACATGATGATGGGTGGAAAGTTACTGATAGTAATTTAACGTGTACTAACTTCCTCAATGAACCCTTGTAAAAATCAAAGATTGATATTTGCTTAAGAATGTAAAATGTGAGATGTTATTGAAGAGTTCTGCAAATGTCTTAGAACATTTCTGATAGTATTATCTGAGCATAGCATAAATACTGCTCATACTTACTGAATTTTCCAGTATTCAACAAGTATAGTTTTAGAAATAGTTGTCATTTTAGTGTTTGATCCTTACATCATGCAGGTCTGGTTTGACCATTTGTTAAGTTGACTGCAGTTGATCAGATGGCCATAATGCCAATTCTCTTTAGTCACTAAGAAAATGAAAATCACCAGACCATGTATTCAGCCCTGGAGTCGAACAGGTGCACAATCCCCCATGAGCCTTGGGCAGACATAAATAATGGCATTAATAAAACCTGAAGCCTCTAAGCCTGAAAATCTCAGCTCCCAGTGCAGGCTGATTGTGCTTCAGTCCTGCTCTCCCTTAGCTTTTCTGTATAGCAGATTGGATATTTGTTGACCCAGACTGGGCAGTTCTCCTTTAGCATTTCCTTTCCATTGATGATGACTTCAGAATTTCCCCTGCTTTTTGTCTGAAGCCTTCTCCTTTCAGTGGTTATGCTTCTCCTTATCTATCTGGCCCCTTTTCTGACACTTCTAAGCCTTTTTTGGACACTGATCCTAGATTCTCCTCTGTAGAATTTTTAAATTAAATTTTAAAGGCTGCCTGTGCTCCTGTGACTTTAGCTGATTTAGCAACCAGACTGGATTGATCAAGAGGCAATCGAATCAAATGCTTTTGATTGGTTCTTTTGGCAGCCCCCAAAATAAGTCAACTATATTTGATTTCAATTGAGTCATATAGATACTTAATGTGATGTAACAGTCTGTGAGGAACGTCCAATTTTTTGATGTGTTGTATGCCTTGTGTATATGAATTAGAGATGAAGTCCAGAAAAACATGAAGAATAGGTAAATGAATGTAAAAAGGGGGAGCAGCCCAGAGTATGAATGGGAATCTCTACAGAGTACCTGCAGTTTCATTCTTTCTCTCATCTTTCCTACGTAGTATTCTCTCCATTGCCCTTTCTTTCATCCTTCACCTTTTTTCCCTTCTCCCCATCTTATGCTTGGGCATGCTAGTGCCTTCCCCTCTGAGATTACCTCCCATCTAAGACATCATGGAATGATGTCTTGACTTCCATGTGTATTGGATTTAAGTGAGGCAGAGCTGCGCAAAGTTGTCAGCCTCACTCTTCTGGGTAGCAAGATATTTGAGTAGAGTGTGTTTTTAATGATTATCACATATCCAGACAGTTGTTCATAAGTCAAATCAGGCCCTAGAGGTGAGAATTATTCTGAAGGGGAAATAGTCAATATGGGCTTTATGACGGGGTCAGAGGGTAAAGTAAATTTAATATATTTAGCCAGTAACTCATGATGATCTGTGTTTACTCCATGGAAATTTTCCATGCGGTGAACAGGAACAATTGATAAAGGACATCTGTTTCTGAAGAACAAAAGGAAACCTTGGGATATGTGCATGTCCTGTAACTGTCCTGTCAGTTAAATATGATTGTAGGGTGAGAAAAATGGAAGAAAACTGAATGATTGCCCTTTTGGCTTTGTATGCAGTCCTGGATGAAAACAGTGATACAGTAGACTCTAGGGGGATAAATGGTCATTCCAGAAGCTGTGGAAACAGTTTCTCTTTGCTCAACAAGCACATAGTGAAGTTGGGTATTTTGAGGGGTGTGTGTGTGTGTGTGTGTGTATTTTAATGAATGAGATGGATATAGAAATACATAAAGCTCTGTTTTTTGTGGATTGTTTTTTCTCCCCAGAGAGAGAAGCATCTTTAACCATAACCAAAATAACTTCTAGAGACTTCTCAGAGAGTAATACCCACATGCATTTGTGAAAGGGAGAAAATGCTTCATGTTATAACTGGAAGGAATTAACGATCTTTTCACTTGTAACATATGTTACCAAATAATTTGCATGTACATTTGTAATGAATCCTAGATGATAGTCCTAGTGGTTTTCTTTCATTTGTCCAGAATGAACCCTGCTGACTTGTGTTTTTTAGCCTTTCGGCTCCCTTCCTAATGATCAATTATCGAGTCTCAAACCAGTTAATAAATCTCTCTCAGGACTCTTGAAGTTGTACTTTTAGTTATGTGGTTCCTTTGCTTCTCACATAATTTCATTTTCCAGTTGTATTTTTTTATTTTATAAAGCAATTTAAATCAAAGAATATTTTGGATTGTGGGGTTCATACTAAGCTTTAGACAACTGGGTTTCTAAGGAAAGGGAAGGAAAAGAAATAAGCATTTATATAGTGCCTACTATGTGCCAGGCACTATGCTAAGCACTTTTACAAATATTATCTCATTTGATTCTCACAAGTCTGGGAGGTAGCTGCTATTTTTATCTCCATTTTACAGTTGAGGAAACTGAGGTAGGTAAAGGGTAAGTGACTTGTCCAGAGTCACACAGCTAGTAAGTATCTGAAGTCCTATTTGAACTCATCTTCCTCTAGGCCCAGCACTTTTTCCACTTGAGCCACCCAGCTGGTGGTTAGATGTTCCTTATACTCCAGCCTAAGGAAGATGTTCCTTAATTGAAAGTCAAAGTTCAAGGAGTAATTGAAGACTCAACTGGTCTGGAGTAAGCCATTGGGTGCCATTTTTTCAACCATGCCTGGTTTCCTCTGATAAGTACTTATGGATTATATCCAAGAGGATGCAGCTCTTCCCTCTCACACTCACAATTCCCCGGCCCCATCCTCCCTGGCCAAAATACAGGTTCAGTAAATATCAAGGCCTAGTTGAGGTGATCTGTGAGGAAGTATCCTTTTGCTTCTATGTAGGAACCAAGTGGCTTTGCTATATCTTTGCTATACCTTTGCTGACTGAGGTTCTTTCTCTTTCTTCTCCCATTCTGCTTGGGCTCCTGGACTCATCAGATATAGCAACTATGGCAACAGCTCTTATCTCTCTACAAGAGGTTATTCAGGATCGAGTGCACCCACAACACCTACTTCATCCCTCTCACCTCACCAGGAGGCCAAATCAGAAAGGTTAGTAAATGATAAATATGTCAATACTTTAATGACTCTGTCATCCAGGGACAAAGGAAAAATGAAATTCTAAGAATGGAACATTGCCAGTAAAATTATTGGAGAGAACTGAGGAAATTAGAAGACAGAGTGGCAGAATTTCAAGTGTTTTTCTTTAGAGAAAACCATTCAAAAGGAAAAAAAATCTCTCTTCAGTTTCGCCCTCTCCCTCTTTTATTTGACCAACATACTCTATGGATTATTTCATTGAAGGTTAAATGTTAGTTGCATTCCTCTTCCTATCTACTTTGCATGAAAAGTAAGTATTAAAAAGTAAATCTGGCTTACCTTAATTTGTTCTTTAAAAAATGTAATTTTATTGTGTATATCCACTTTTATTTCCCTACTGGGTAGACTTCATAGAAAAAATAAAGAAATCAGATATCCATTAACTTTTTTAGTAATTAGTACAGGATTGACCAGAATATATCACTGAGCAAGGATCCAAAAATTCTTGTATTTTCTCCTAAAAGAGCAAAAAGAATTTTATGGTAACATGGAAGGAATTCCATTTGGTGGGAACCTCCTTGCTACAAATGATCCAATTTTACATTGGTGTGCGTTCTCTTTATCCCAGTTGCACTGGCCAAAAGATTCATTGCCGAATGTCCACCCTTTTCGTGTTGAACAGCCTCTCTGAATTCATTTAAGCTGGTCTTTGGATGACAAGACATTCGTGGGCCTGTGCTCAGAGTCACTTCCAGCTTGATAGGACCTGCCAGAGCTAGAGGACATCTGGGGGCACAGTGAATATAGCACTCAACCTGGAGTTAGGAAGACCTGAGTTCAAATCTAGCCTCAGACACTTAGCAACTGTGTGACCCTGGGCAAGTCACTTAAAAACAAACCAAACCCCCCAGCCTCCATTTGCCTCAGTTTCCCCTTCTGTAAAATGAGGATAAAATTGCACCCAGATTGCAGTGTTGTTGCAAGGCTCAAATGAAATAATATTTGTAAAGCTTTTAGCACAGTGCCTGGCACATGTGCTATTTAAATGTCAACTCACTATCACACTGCCCTGGCCTAACCTTTATAAGCCCAGACTCACCTATGTACCACAGTGGGACATTGGAGAGCCCTTCAGTCAAGTAAGAAAGAATCGAGGATGCTAGAAATGAACACTTAACTATTTGAAAGAATTAATCACTGAAAAGAGTGGATTTGAAAGGGTTAGGTAACTGATTTTTGTTATATTACATCAAGATCAATTAAGCTGAAATAGGTTCCTATAGGATCTGAAAGTTCCAGGTTTTATGTTACCAAATTGGCCTCTAAATCATGAAGTTATCTGGTCCAATCCCCTCATTTTACTGAAACCCACAGAAGAGACATGACTTGGATTTTATAGGATTGTGAGGGAAAATTAAATATACCTAGGTTTGAGTCTTGCCTCAGACACTTATTGGTTGTAGAATCACAAGCAAATAATTGAAACTGTAAGAGCCTCAGGGTTCTCATGTGTTAAACAGGAATAATAACACTTGTGTTCCCATGTGTTAAATGGGCATAATACTTGCACTATGAGTCTCAAGAGGTCATTGTAGAAAAAGCACTTTGCAAACAAAAGTATTATATAAATACATAGCACATATTGAAATACAACCTAGGCTGGAAGAGCTCAGATACATTCATAATAGGTTGTTAAGGGAAAGGAGAATTGTAAGGGTATGTCACTAGCCTTCCCTTCTTCAGCTATGGATTCCCCATTGCTGGAGGTCTTCAAGAGGAGACTAGATGACTATTTGTGTGTAGAAGGGGGTTCCTAATGAGGTCTAGATTGGATTAGATCTGTGAGGTCCCTTCTGAGACTCTCTTATTCTCAGAAAGAGATCAAGAGAGCTAGGGCCTCTACATGAAAATGTAGTAGGGTTCCAGGGCTGTGGTGTTCCCAAATGGCTTTTCCTCCATTTCTGGGCTGGTTGTCTCTCTTGCTGTGTGGGTGCCTGGAGAGCTCCTGAGTGCTGGGCTGAGTTACAGGCTGCTTAAAGTGTGACTCTATCTGTAGAATGGAAGTACCTAGACTAGGTCATCTCTAAAATCTTAGGCCAAGCCATGGCTGCTATGTCAAGATCAGTGACAGCTGCATCCTTGACAATATCTTCTAAGACCTTCTCTATTTTGGGACAGGGCATGTGCCTCCTTCAAAAGGTGAGGGACCCTGATCCTTATGGCTCAGCATAATGGGATAGGCGGGTTATGCTTTGTACAAAGGCTCCCCAGCTGTGTCTGCCCTATCAGTTATCACCGTTGATAACAGTCATATCTCTTGTCTACAATTCAGCTTAGCATGGGGGTCAGTAAAGATCTGGTGAGTCATTTTTTCCACCTCTGCCTTAACCTATCCCTCCAGAGTAAGTAGTCAAAGTCATCTGGGCCGTGGAGAGGGCTACCAAAGTCTTTGATTTAAAGTCAGATCTTTAGAGCCAAGGAAGTGAAGAGGAGAACAAGGAGAATGGGAAAATGGGAAACTAGAGATGGAATCACCTAGAGTATTGTGGTACAGTGGATAGAGCACTATATATATCAGCATCCACAGTCGTCTTTGAAACATAGAAGGGAAGAAAAGCCCTTCGCCATCTCCTTTGCAGGCCTCAGAGTAGCATCAGGCACATCTTTGCCATCTGCCCTGTCTCATCTAGTTCATTATAGATTATTCCTGTGATTCTCAGGAATTTATACATCTGATTCTTAATGACCCTAAACAAGTGGATATTCCTACTGCCCAGAATGCCCCAGTTGCCCCCCAAAAGTGATTGCAGATTGAGGGGTGATTCAGAAGTCTGCTATGTTAAAATATAAGTGTTGTATCATTGCTTTATTTTTGTATGACTCTACATTCTTAGAGAGGTCATCCAGTCCAACAGTTCCCTAAAGTATGAATTCCCTACTAAATTTAAAAGCTTTAAATTGCCTCCTTTAAAAATTGTAAAACACCAAGTAATTTTAACAAACTGTTTAAGTTTACAGAGTGCTTAAAGTTGCCCAGCTGTTAACTATGTAAGTTACTTGGTGTTTTGAAACAGAGCCTGAATGGCCATTACAATATGGTTTTCTGGCAGGATCAATGACATTGGAATCAATGAGAAGAAGATATTTAGAGGGTTATGGTGTCTTATGATGCAAGAGGGATGAGACCTAAATACTAGGGTAGTTGGACTGATAAAACCATAGGGATGGAATGGTGAAGAGATCTGAGGATTTTAAGAGGGGGAACCCTATAGATTCAAAGAGAAAGCAAAAATGAACACGTAGGATGAATTGACCTTGAATGGAGGGACTGGAAAAATAACTTGAAAAGTTTTATGAGACATGGTAGGAGATAAAAATGAGAGCGGAAATGGAAATAATGAGAACAAAATGGACTTATGGAGTTAGTTCAGCTCAAGGAAGCTGAGGAAGAGCAGAGCTCCCCTGAGAAGGGAAAAGGAATCCAGGACGCCTATGGTCTGTGAACCTGAGGACATTTTCTTTGAAGAGAAATAACTTCCATTTTCACCTTGGGGTAGATGAACAATTTCAGGGGTACTCGGGTATAGACATTTTTTGGGGGGGCTAGGCAATTGGGGTTAAGTGACTTGCCCAGGGTCACACAGCTAGTTAAGTGTTAAGTCTCTGAGGTCAGATTTGAACTAAGGTCCTCCTGACAACAGAGCCGGTGCTCTATCCACTGCGCCACCTAGCTGCTCCCCCAGGTATACACTTTTAAGGTGTCTAGGAGAGGGGAGAGTTTCAAAAGAATAAAAAGATAGTTGATACTATTATTATCCGCTCTAAAAGGCAACTGAGAAGACATCAGTAACTTTAGGCCTGTGCGGGAACTTTCTCATCTCTGTAAAATTAGAATGAAGTTAATAGTTAATTAGTATGAAAATATTTATCCTTGATGGAAAATTAGATAAGGAATCAGATAGGCTTTTCCAGATGGGTGTCAATAACAAAATGTACAGTCATAGTTCACTGTGATATAAAAAATAAAGAGCCTACTGCATCTATTGTTTTTTAATCACGAAAAAGAAAATTTTGACTTAGTAAAGAAATATGAAGCCTTAAAAGCTTTTTGTACCAAATGACTTATATGGAAATGTTTTACACAATTGCATATGTATAACCCATATCAGATTGCTTACTATCTCAGGAAGGGGGGGAAGAGAGAGAGGGAGGGTTATAATTTGGAATTCAAAATTTTAAAAAATAAAAAACAACCAATGTTTTAAAATTTTTACATGTAAATTGGAGAAAAATAAAATATTATTTAAAAAATAAAAATATATTCCTTCCAAAAAAAAGTTTCCTGCTGATAGTAACACTCTGCATATGTTAAAAATCATACAAGAATCCTTGATAGATAAAACCACAGAAACAATTTCTTCTACCTTATGATTATCAAAATTAAGCAACATATACAACAGAGGAGACCTAGTCAATAAAAGTGTTTAATTCTGTCATGGAGATAGTCCTGCACACAATTCAAATTGAAAAGAAATTTCATATGGTTAGGGTCCCTATATGTTTCTGTTTGTGGATGACATTGTACTGTTTGCATCAACTCCAAGGAACAATACAGGGTTTCCTAAAATGAATTTCACAGATGCTCAAAATAGACCAGTCTTACAATCCACACAGACAAACCCAAGTGGATGAAGAATGCTTCATTGTCCTTATTATGGCATTAGTTGGATGGGTTCATTGAGGTAATTCATTAATCAATACAGATATTTTGGAAAGGTACTTAAGAAGAAGAGAACAGGTTGGAATTTACTTGGATAACTGCATAGCTGTTGTAGTGATCTTGAGATATTTCCTGCCATAAAAGCATATATTTTAATGTAAATATTCTCCTCAGCAATGCTACATATCTGTGAAACATGGATTATTAAAGTCTCTGGAGAATAAAAATTCAGAGGACTGGAAAAAGTATAGTATTTAGTATCAGAAGACCTAGATTTCTAATCCTCCTTCTT